TAATTAGTGTTAATTAATTTAGTTTTTTTTTTGGTTGACTAATTTTTAGTTAATTTAATTATCTGCATTTTAATTGTTTGATACATATAACTGCGTGGGTAGAATTTAAACAACAACTATGCTTGGGCTAGGGTCTACTATATTTGTTCAAAACTTGATTTTCTTGAGCTTTTAGGAATAAGGTCGACTATGGCTTTATAATCTTTAAGTTTTGCACTCTTTTAACTTTTGGATCGACTTATGTTTCTCTAAGATCAACTTTTGGCTTATGTCTTAAGGTTTCTTTAGCTTTTTGACTTTTCTTTCCAACTATTTCCTCCTTTCCTTGTTCCTACATTCAAATAGCATTTTAAGGCATGTTTGCTCTTACATCTTTAGCTGAATATGTATTGTTTGAAAGCTTAAAACATGTTTGCTAGTAATGTATGGCTTTTCAAACAAGTATGTAACCTTAAGGGATTAAAAATGTATTTGAGACAATTTTAAATGCTTGATATTAAGTTCAAGAAATCATGAGATTTTTGTTAAATCAAAACATGATGCAACTTAAGGGTAGTACATTACTTTTCACCAAATCATTAGTGAAAGAATTTCAATAGGATAAATTTTATTGAAAATAGTCTCATAATCTATCAAATTTGTACCATTAGTAATTGACCAAAAATTCATGAAAAATATGTAGCATTATCAGTGAAATTTTTTCGATGAAAAGTTTTCATCAAAAAGACTTATTTTTCTTGTACAACTTGCTTAGTTGGGGGCAATGGTATAGCCATTCACCTTATTCTTAAACCCCTTCTAATAATTTGTTTCCTTTGTAGAAATTGTCATTCCTCAAAATGGTCATTCTTGAAGAAACCTGAACAGCTATTGCCAAGAAGACCTCAATAATAGCTATTCCAAAGGTGGGAGAATAGGTCAAAATTTTTGTTGGATAAAATTACCGTTAAATAAATTTAAAAATTATCATCATAATATAGATTTTTTCAATTTTTACATTTTCTTTCTTTCTCTGCCTATTTTCTATGTCTTTCCTTTTTTCTCTAAAGTCCTTTAAAGGAGGGTAGGCATGGCACCATGCCAATTGTGAGAAACGTTGATTGGTGTTCTCTCACCATATTTGGTAACAAAAAGTGCCGATCTAGTGCACCTAGACTAAATTTGATCGCAAGAAGCATCGATTTGGCATTCTAGCAACCAGATCCAACAATAGAGAATTCTAAATCGACATTTCATTACTCTGACCACATTTTTGGTGGTTGACGAATAAGAAGACAAAAAGAAATGAAAATAATAACTATTCTTCTTTTATTTTATTTTCGCAGAATGATTGTTTCATTCTTATCATATTCTATTATGCGAATTAAACATATCCGTAAGAAGTCAAAATAGACTAGTTATTGTAGGTGCTAGGTAAAGATAGTTAAATATTACATTAGAAAAATTAAATGGCACTATTTTCATCAAATATTTTAAAAAATACATTAGTTATATATGTTTTTTAAATATATATTATCTTAATCATATCAATAAGCATCGATTAATATATTTCTTTTAAATATACAAAAATAATCTACAAAAGTTATATTAAAAAACTGACAATTAATCATTTGCCCTCAGCAATTTATCAATTATAATGAAAAAGTTTATGATTTTCGAAACTTTTGTTAGTGATCCACTTCCAATTGTTGTCCTTTTCTTTGCCAATATGCAATACTGTCCTCGAAAGCATGGTTATGGGCGGTTGTCTCGGACTGAAGTGGAGACGTGGATACCCATCCACCCATAGAAGTAAATTACTAAATAGATGTCTTGTCTCCAATTTCAGAAATGATTTATTGTTTGAAAATTAAAAAAAAAAAAGTAAAAGGGCTAAAAATACCGACTTCCCTCTTTCCTTTGTTGTTGAGGACGGACCACACAAGCTTTGCCTGTAGCCACATATATCTCTTTGAGACAGCTCCAAAAATGAGCCACAACCCATTTTCGTCTCCATTTCTCAAGTCCATTTCCATGTTTTGGTGAGTCTTTCTTTTCTTTTCTGCACACTCGTCGATCTCTTTTCAGATTCAGTTAATAGATTCCAAGCTTTTGCAACAACTCCTAGTAGTAATGGTCTAGAAGTGTTCATGACTTGTTTAGTCTCAAAACCTTCTATCCAGTTGATTTTCTGAGTTGGGAATTTATTAAAAGACAACTTTCTTCTTCGAAAGAGTGTTATTTGAAGAATTTTTGGTGACCCAGGTTTGTATTTTGAGTAGATATTAAAAGACCCTTTGTTCCAATCCATGGATACTTTACTTAGAACACATAACAAGCTTGAACTTTTACCTCAACTCCAAGGGTTTTCTGAGAAAGCTTGTAACTTGAGTTCAGTCAGGGTTCAGAACCAGGAACTTAAGTTTGGTCCCAAGAAGTCATATTTTAGAAGAGGCAGGGGTAATGCTTGTGTTAAGGCAAGTAGTGCCGCTCTTTTAGAGATGGTACCAGAAACTAAGAAGGAAAATTTAGAGTTTGAGCTTCCTATATATGATCCATCAAAAGGCACTGTGGTGGATTTAGCTGTTGTGGGAGGTGGCCCTGCAGGTCTGGCTGTTGCCCAGCAGGTTTCAGAGGCAGGGCTTTCAGTCTGCTCAATTGACCCGTCTCCGAAATTGATTTGGCCTAATAATTATGGTGTTTGGGTGGATGAATTTGAGGCTATGGATCTGCTTGATTGCCTTGATACAACCTGGTCTGGCGCTGTTGTCTATATTGATGACCAAAAAAAGAAAGATCTTGGTAGACCTTATGGAAGGGTTAATAGGAAGCAGCTGAAGTCAAAAATGTTGCAAAAGTGTATATCTAACGGTGTCAAATTTCACCAAGCAAAGGTTATAAAGGTTATCCACGAGGAGTCAAAATCTCTATTGATTTGCAATGATGGTGTCACAGTTCAGGCTACTGTCGTTCTTGATGCAACTGGATTTTCTAGGTGCCTTGTTCAGTATGATAAGCCCTATAATCCTGGCTATCAAATGGCCTATGGTATTTTGGCTGAGGTGGAAGAACACCCATTTGATGTAGATAAGATGGTTTTTATGGATTGGAGAGACTCACATCTTATCAACAATAAGGAGTTGAGAGAGAGAAATAGTAAAATCCCCACATTTCTATATGCAATGCCCTTCTCGTCAGACAGAATATTTCTGGAGGAAACTTCTCTAGTTGCTCGACCTGGAGTGCCTATGGATGATATCAAGGAGAGAATGGTGGCCAGGTTAAGGCACCTAGGCATAAAAGTGAAGAGTATCGAAGAGGATGAACATTGTGTTATTCCAATGGGTGGGCCCCTTCCAGTGCTACCTCAAAGAGTTGTGGGAATTGGTGGCACAGCTGGGATGGTGCACCCTTCAACAGGGTATATGGTAGCAAGAACCCTTGCAGCAGCTCCAATTGTTGCAGAGTCCATAGTTCGGTGCCTTGATCCAGGAAAAAGCTTTTTGGGAAACAAATTGGCTGCAGAAGTGTGGAGAGATTTATGGCCCATAGAAAGAAGGAGACAAAGGGAATTCTTCTGTTTTGGCATGGATATTCTGCTTAAGCTAGACTTACCAGCTACAAGAAGGTTTTTTGATGCATTTTTTGATCTGGAACCCCATTATTGGCATGGATTCTTGTCATCTCGGTTGTTTCTTCCCGAGCTCATAGTTTTTGGACTTTCTCTGTTCACTCATGCCTCTACTACTTCTAGGTTAGAGATTATGGCTAACGGAACTCTGCCTTTGGTCAACATGATTAATAATTTAGTGCAGGATAGAGAATAAGATGATCAGGATATCCATATGTCATGTGCTTAAGTATATTGATGCGTTGCATTTTACTCATTTTTCCCCATAAATGTTGATAATATACTATGAATTTGTTGTTTTATAGTTATGCTAGTACAGTTATCGGGCAGAACACTCAATTTCTTGTAGAACAGAATATTCCTTAGATTCAATGATTTCTTCATTCATGTAGCAAGCATGTTCTATCAGGCCACTTATGGACACCCTGCATTTTGCTATTAGTCTCATCCAATTATTTGGCAAAGGCTGTTCATTAATTTAGGATTGCTCTCTCGGTGATTAGCTAGTAGCTGCAAGAAGCAAAAAGGATAGGCGAATGATGTGTCATATGTTGTGATTGGAGTTGTTAGATGCATCAGTATAGGTTTGATGCTGTCAATAGATTGCATAGTTAATCAGTATTATCACTGTCCAACTTTGAGAAGGATGCAAAGACATGGTGTATGATAACTAAGTAATGCTGTTGTTGGAAACTACAACCTGGAAATACGGGAAATTACTTGTTGAATTGCCTTGCTTTCATTTAGAATAGGTAGTTGTGATAATTGCAGTTACGTTCGCTTGTCCTGTCGTCAACACAGATGTGCAAAGTTTAAAGCTTGTTAAATACGGAACAAGGATTGATGTACTATGAATTTCCTGATGTCTTCAGTGATTGTGTTTGATAGATTGTGAGATATTTTAATACGATGGCAAATAAATCGATGAGTGCAGTGTTGTATAGGGTTGCTCATAAGGTGATTTGAAAATATACTTAGGGGACAAATAGTGATAGGAAATCTGGTTATAGTGCTATCTCTTAAGTGATATTGTTAGGTTTTCTGGCATTCTGCAACTGCATGGGAAAGCAGTTTTTCTGCTCTCTGCTTAGTCGTGATCTTGCTCTGGAAAGGGGAAGAATAAACGAATGCTTTAGATGTAGACTGAAATGGGATAAGCATAAGTCTCCAGATCCAAAGGCTGGGACCCTTGCACTGTACGTTGTCAAGCAGCCTTCGTGTTTTGAGCATAGCTCATTATTTTCTGCCACAAACATAGTACAAAATTATAAAACAAAGCTAGGGCACCTGTAATTTTACTATTCTGGAAACGTTACCGAAGAACTAAGAAATGTAAGAAACAATAAGCTTGAGCAACACGTTCATTAATCAATGCTAAATGGAACTGATACATCTGTATTCCCTGCCCATGGCAGGAGAGAAATTTGCTTATTCAATTGTTGAAATTGATGCTTTTACTCAAGGATAAGAACCCAGCCAAAATTTTATGGCTTCTGTATATATGTATACGGGAAATGAAAATCACAAGGTTGCAAGCAAGTAATTAAGCTTATTAAATTAAAATAAATAAGCAGACATGTACGTCTCAATTTTTTGGATGGATGGTGTAGTAAGTCTGAAGAGCACTAAGAAGAAGTGCTGCAATGGCGCCCACAAATGCTAGGAAAGTCCAAGGGCTTCTAAAATGGGTATGATAGGCTTGAGCTGCATAGGTGATCCAGATGTTGCTGCAATGATTCTGGATTTGTGCCGTCACTTTAGAATAACGTTCTGGATTGGGCACCAAGTCCGTGTTCATCTTGTTGAAAAGCTTAGCCACCTCTTCATCACTTCCCAGCCCATTGAAGAGTATGCCTGCGTCTCTCAACGCCTTAACATCTTCTGCTTCATCAATCAAAGAATCAAGAAAGCATATGTAAGAGGTGACAACGAAGTCATTGTCGAAATCTGGGCACATTTCATAAGCTATCAAGTTCATGAACTTGGGCCCTGTTGAGTCGTCCACTGTGATAGGCGGGAGCATTAGTTTCCCCACACAGCATACGCGATTGAAACTGATGTCCTTGAGGCAGCTGGTTTCACTAGGTCTCAACCAAATCCCTGCTTCTCTAAGCTCCTTAACGTTACGAAATGTATGCGAATGATGACTTGTCTTACCTTTTTGGTAACATGATTCTATATGTTGGAACAGCCAATTGCACCCCTTGCTTAGGACTGAGCTTTCCTTCTCTTCTGTTTTGGCTAGCAGTCTTGTTCGCAGAAAATCCAGAAGATGAGCAGGCTTTGGTTCTTCTTGTTGTTTCTGTTGCTTTCCTTGCTTTGGTTCTTGCTGCTGCCGCTGCTGCTCTTTCATCACCTCTGCTGGAGTCATAGCATTTACGTCAATGAACCTTTTGATTGATTCCTTAAACCTTTGGCCTTTGTTGCTTGAGCTTATCAACAATTCAAGAACGCGGTAAGGTAGCTGGTTTTCCAACAATAACAAATCTAGGTGCACAAATGCCAGCAAATCAATTTTAATATTCAATTCATTCGGGGCACCCTCTTTGTCCTTGGCTTGAGGATCAGGGAGTAGATAAATTGCCTGTAGAACCGCACAACCATCCAGAAAGAGCATCCCAGTGAGCTTCTCATCATCATCATAATATTTCTCTATTTCCGTGCGATTGTAGCATTTCTTCAATTTGGCTATCTCCATCTTAATCTTGCTGTATAAGACTTTCTTTTCAGAAACATGATTGTTCAGGAAATGTGCTGCCAGTTTAAGCTTGAGCTTCTCAGCTCCCCGGAGACTGGGATCATCGTGGTGGAGGGGACCGATGGCAATCACCCTTGGCTTGAAATACTTGAGGAATTCTGTTTGCCCGCTCAGCAAGGATGGAACCCTTTGTATTAATGGTGGGGCAGTTGTTTCATTTTGAGCAGCTTTGCAGGCTTCATCTAAAGACCTGAGATTCTCTAAATCACCAGTGCTCAAACAGAAGCCCTGATCTTGTACGGAAATGATTGTCTCCTGGGGATTGCAGTTGTGTCTACTTATATGATCAGTGGAAACTTCCTCTGCGGGGACATCTTTCGTTGAGGGCAACGACATTTTTCAGCCTTGGTGAAATCGTTTTGGCAAATTCGGCTATCTACTGTTTAGCTGATCAGTATTGTTGATAAATCTTGGAGCAGTGAGGTGATTTCTGTTTCAGTTTGTATGACAAATTAGGGAAATCAACCTACAGTTTTAGCTTTAGGAGGCATAACAAATTTCAGGTTGAAAAAGAATAATCTTTGTGCTTGACCAAGCTATCAAGTTTGGTATTTGGTCTTTTTTCCTTTTTTTGGTTATGACTCTACCAAAGGAATTAATCCGACTGGTTGCTTCTAGCTTTAATTACTTTTAATCTTTGGATCGTCGGCCTTTTTCTTTTGTAAAGGATAAGGATGAATGTTTAGTACTGCCCTTTGAAGCAAGTCATAGATGAAATCTTCAGCCAAAATTAACATAGGATGTCTCGTTAATTATATAACGACTAGAATTTGCCCTTTTTGTATGCTTGGCTTTTAATTTTATCCATTAATTTGTCGAGAGCCAAGTTGCATGCTGTTGCATTGAACTACAACTTCATCACATATAGGACATTAAGCAAATGAAACAACCACTTTATTGGGATAATGGAGGCACAAACCTCTTAAGATTCCATTAATTAACAAAGATATTTAAGTAGAAAACCACAATAACTCAATTGCGAAGTTTGTAGACAAGCACTACCCTAGCTCACGGTTTACTTTTTCTTGTCAACTTTATTTGATTTGGTACAAACAAAGATTGTTGTGCTTAAACGAAAATCTCGTGCCAAATTGTTAAGTGCAAAGTTATGTATTTCCTTACCCATACTCATAAATTGATAAAAGTTCCGTATAAAACCTTTACTCATAAATTGGTTTAGGAAACATAGAGGATAGACATGGTAATTTATGTATTCGTATTTTAATTGTATCATGTAAACATAAAATATTAACAGTCATATGGATAAATACGAACATGATAAGATTAATTAACCGTGTCAGAATTTTAAACATATATATACAACATGGTTAACATGCTTTTTGAACATATCGGATTAAATTTTGTATGACCTCACATGATTAACATGATTAAAATTTATATGATTTATGACATATTTACATGATTGATATGATTAACATAATTAAAACGATTAAAATTGAAATATGTACAAGTAAAATATGATATTCAAATTTACAATAAAAAATTATAAATATCATAATATTTACAAAATATAATAAAATTCAATATTAATAAATCTTAATCATCATAAAGATATTTGTATTTATATTGATAAATAAATGGTTCTTAATTATATATTAAATGTGTTGATACAATATGTTAATACGATTAAATAAATTGATAATAAACAAGTCACAGGTTATACGGATACATAATAATACGATTACCTAATAGTATGCTTTCTCAAGATGAAAATAACCCAGAAACCTTGTAATTGTTTCTACTGCAGAAGTGAGAAGCTATATGCAAGAGAAGAGTTTAAGATTGAAAAATACTCAAAAGTGAAAGTGTGTAGTATGATTGATGAAAAGAAATAATAATAATAAATTACTAAATAAATAAAAAATAAATTAAGATAAGACCTCTCATTTTTTAAGGAACACAACTTTTAATTTGTACTTTGGATTAGATTAAATAATGCTCAAAACTTTATTGTAAAAATAATTTTGGTTTAGAAAAGCAAAAGAATATTTTATTGAGTATTTTACGAATAATATATATTCTATTATAAAAGTACAAATATTAAAAAAAATTTAATTGACGAAAGGAATGTTTTTACTCATTATATTTCTAAATTGTCATTATCTATTTTAAATAATATTTAGAAGTATGCACAATTATTACATGAACTAAAATCTAAACATATTTATAAATTGTCATTTTAAAATTGTTGTTATAAATATTAATTAAAAAATTTATCTGAATTGTAAATATGAATTTTAATGGCATTAATTACCTCAATTAAAAATATTTTCTTAACTATAATAGTATTGAATAGTTAATAGATTAATATTACAAAATTTGAATATATTTATACTTTAATATATTTGTGTGTATCTATATAAGAATTATTAAAATAGAGATAAAATGTTGGACATGTTTTGTTGGCATGATGCACCATGCAATGCAAGTGACAACAAATATTAGTATATGTATACTTTTAAATTATAAAGAGATTATAGATTATGGAGCTAAATATATAAAAGAGGAAATTATGAGGAATAACCTTCCTTGATAAGGGTATTTCAAAAATAACCATAAAAATAAATTTAACTGTTTTTAGTCAGATTTAGTCCTAATTTGACAAAAATTCCCTTAAAACTATTTTAAATAAATTAAACCATTCATCACGATTTTTTTTCATTTATGCTTTCAATTTCTCACTTTCACCATCTCACTCTCTCTGATTTTATTAATTTCTCTCTTTGCCATTTGTTTGCTATGCTCAGCTTTCAATTTCTCCCTCTCGCGCTTTTAGATTTCTCTTTCCTATACTTTCAAGACACCAAGCAATGATTTTGATGTGTTTACGTGGGTGGTTATTTGAAAATTTTAATGTTTAGGTATTTTGAATAAAATTAAAACTGTAAAAATGATCATAGATGTTTGAAATACTTTTTAATTGGATCAATTTAGGACCTAGACAACAATACACTCAAGAATCTGAAATTTATAAACCTAAATTTTCAAAGGAATTTTTTTTATTTTTAGTCAAAATAGGTATTTTAGAAAAAAAAATTTCTATTTTGATTTATGAAAACATGTTAGAAACACTTTAATCGGTGCAAATTGTCAAAAAAACAAAAAGAAATAAAGAGAGTTGAAAGGATTTGAAATTTTGATTCGTAAGTAATAATAATATTTTAGACATTAAAGTGTAACAAAATATTTTTGAATATAGCATGTAAAATATTTTCTCAACATGGCGTGCAACAACAATTTTTATTTTAACATGGCTTGTAATATCTTTTTTTAATTATAGTGTGTAACTTGTTTTTGTGCATTGCGTATAATAATAGTATTTTTTTTCAATATGACGTGTAACAACCTAATCATGGCATGTAACATGTTTTTACCCATGGCGTGTAATAACAGTATTTTTTTTTAACATGACATGTAACAACTTAACCATAGCATGTAACATCATGACGTGTGATTTCATTAAGGATAATTTTATCTAATTTGACTAAAACAGTTAAAATTATCTTGAAGGTTATTTTTAAAAATATTTTATCTTTTAAGGGTTATTTGTAAAAATGTCCCTCTATAAAATTTGAAAAGCTTTAAAATAAAAAGATGCATACAACAACATCTTTATTCTCTTTGAAAATTTTATTTGTTTCCCACAACTTAAAATCAAATCAGTGAACAAAATGGACAGTAAGCTTACAATTTGAAAATCAAAGGCAAGCACCCATCTTCACACTCACACTCACATAGTATAGTAGGGAAAAAAATTAAGGTAAAAAACACACTTGGGACGCTTGCAAATGGGAAACATGTTTACTTTGGTCCTAACTTTTTCGTCTCATTGAGTAATATGCTTGAATGGCAGTAAAAATAAGACCCAATATGGCTCCCAAAAAGGCAAGGATACTCCAGGGAGTGCTGAAATGTGTGTAATATGCCTTGGCTATGCAGGTGGTCCATGGATTGTCGCAATACTTACGGATGTCCTCCGTTACTCCTCGGTACATCCCGAGATCAGGTACCAAATCGGTGGTTATGCTATTGAAAAGATGAGCTGCTTCTTCATCACTGCCCATGTAATTCAGTAGCATTCCTGCATGTCTCAACTCCTTCACGTCTTGTGCTGTGTCGATGAGGGAATCAAGGAAGCACAAGTAAGAGGTGACCCCAAAGTCATTCTCAAAATCTGGACACATTTCATAAGCTACCAGGTTCAGGAACTTGGAACCGGTCGAGTCATCCACCACGATGCGAGGAATCGTCAGAGTTCCCAAAAACCCAACGGAGAAATTAACATCTCGGAGGCTGCTTGTCTCGCTTCGACTCACGTGAATCCCTGCTTCTTTCAGCTCATTGATACTACGAAATGTTTTGTCAGCTTTTGTTGGTCCAAGAGACCTAAGTACCTGACCAATCAAGGTATTTTTAGGCTTCTTGGTTTTTTTGGGATTGGCCAATAGCCTTTCCCGCAAAAGCCCCAGGAGATGAGTGTGTTCTTGGTCGCCTGCCTCTAGTGGCGGTTGCTCCGTGCCGGCTGCCAATGTTTTCTTAATCTTATCATCAATGAATAAGTTGATCGATTCTCTCAAATTCTCTCCATTTTTGACTGAGCTCATCAGTAACTCGAGGACTCGAAAAGGGAGTTGATTCTCCAGCATGAACAAATCTAGTTGGGCAAATGCAAGAAGATCAACTTTGATATTCAAATCTTTCTGCTTTTCTAGCCTAGTGTAGTGCATGGCATGCAGCACTGCACACCCGTCCACAAAGAACATCCAAGCGAGCTCCTCATCGTCATAACGTTCTATATCCTTTGGCCTGTAACACTTCTTCAGATCTCTCATCTCCTTCTTAATCTTTTTGTATAACTCTTGTTCCGAAATTTCACGTTCATTTGTGAATTGCACTGCAAGTTCAAGCTTGGCCTTCTCTGCTGGCTGGAGCCTGGAGTTCTTATGGTGGAGAGGGCCAATTGCAACCACCCTTGGTTCAAAATATTTCTTGTAATCCTTCCTTTCACTTAAAGTGGATGGAACCCTTTGCATTAATGGTTTGGATTTGGAAGATTGAGCTGGGACGCTCTTGTCTTTCGACGATTCCTTCAAAGCTCTGAAACAAGTGAAATTCTCTTCCTCACGGCTGCTGAATTGCAATTCCTCTTGATCACATTCATATATTGGAAGTTGGATTTTCCATGATGGCTCTTCCTTTCTGATCATTTTCAGCTTTTGAGTTTAAACGAGGTGATTCCAGGCAAATTGGAAGAGTAAGCTAGCTTTGCTAAAGCAGAGGACACAAAAGAGTTTGATAAAATGACAATGGTTGGTTGGAAGATGAAGCATCTTTGCACTTTATTAAGACGTCAAGTTTAGCATTCTATATGCATTCTTTTCACGCTGGTCTTTTTCCAGCTCTTACACAGCAAAAAGATTATTGCTGTACGTATGTTGTCTTTCCTCATTAACATATCAAGCTTACTGCTTCTTTTGAT